TATCCGTAAAGATTTGTGTCTTGTAATTGTTCCTTGAGAGACCAAGGTTGGTCAGAATTCTCAAGTAGACTAGGACTAGTTAAGTCTTAGTGGTGTTAGTCACTTGTAAGGTTACTTGTGAATTTTTAGTCACAACAATTGTTGTGTGATTGTAATCAGTTGATTATAATGGATTAAGTCCTTGTTGATAAAGGCGAAATCACCTTGGCGGGTGGACTGGAGTAGTTTGAGTTCAAACGAACCAGGATAAAAATAACCTTGTCTTTCCTTTATTGTTGAGATTTGTTTTGAAAAGAAAAAGAGTCACTTATTCAACCCCCCCCCCCCTTCTAAGTTTCTTCTCCACCTTCAGAAACTCCCGAGTAAGAATCAGTTGCAGTAAGTTTTGAGAATATGGTCTCTTCTGCTGAAACAACATCATTTTTTCTTATGTTAAAGACACTGGAGGATTTGAAGAAAGAAAGTGTTGTGTTTAAGGAAAGGTTGGACAAACAGTATGAAACTAGCAAGGAAATTAAGAGGATGCTTAGGAAACAAGAGGAATCGAACAGTCAGATCAAGAGTTTATTGGAAGTCTTGTTCACACGACTTCCACCTCCTCAACCTTAGTTCTGAAAAATTGTTCCTATTTTTGTTTCTTATTTCAATCTTCTGGTTATCCACCTCCTTCTATTTATCTTAATCCTCTTTTGAATACAAAATGCACTTTACTATTTACGTGTTTTTATTGCTTTTTTATTCTTGACAAAAAAGGGGGAGAACGTAAGACATTTTGAATATAACAGTATCGAGACTCGGTCTCAAACATTTTGAATATCATAACTTCTATTTTTTTATCCTCTGAAAGCGAACATGAAAAATCTATTGAAAGTAACTTATGTTGTGGACACATCAAAAACCTCATTCAAAGCTCTGATTAGAACATCTTCAGGAAAGTATTTTTTTCTTTATCTGAGTATCCAACTCAGGGGGAGACTTTAATTCTTTATGCTCTTAAGTATTTCATCAAAATATACAAGTTTTTTTCATCATCAAAAACGGGGGAGATTGTTAGAATATAGTTTGGTTCTACATTCTTATAAGAGTTTTGATGATAACAAACACATGTTATTTATAAAGAACAAATATGCTCTCTAATAAAGTATTTTAATATGCAGGGAAACTCTGATGAAAGAAGCATAGAAGATGAGAGAGTTACATTTATGAAGCTCTGGTTCAGCACTTAGAAGCAAATTCATATGACACGCTTAAATGAAAAAAGTTATAATGTTACAACTTCTGAATGCACTAACGCTGCCAACAATTAAACAAACTCTAATATTCTGATAAAGTAAAGTTCTGGAAAGAACTAAAGAAGTCTCAACGGTAACTCCATCTGCTGATATAATTCAAAGAAGGAATATTCTGAAGCATTACATTTTATTCATTGCAAATCAAAAGTAACGGCTGAATCAAGACAAGAATCTCTATGTTTGGAAAGAACATTAACTACTATTTATCAACCTTCCAAAAGCATCTTCTCATGTCTCTCATACATCGCCTATATAAAGAAGACGTGAAGGAGAAATCGGACACAACATTACTGCGCACTGAAAAAGAGAAATCTCATTACCTTTTTATCTTGTGCTTTTCAATTGTGTAATGCATCACTATAGTGATATTTTTTATCTAGAAAACATCTTTGCATACACTTTCAATTATATTATTGTGTAATACCTTGAGAAAGCTGAGTTGTGTTTTAATCTCAAGAAGACTTTGACAATTGTCATTGTGTCTGTGTAATCAAGTTTGGTTAGTGGATTAAGACCTCATTTGAGAGAGGAAAAATCACCTTGGCGGGTGGACTGAAGTAGTTTGAGTTCAAACAAACCAAGATAACCAACGTGTCTATTGCTTTATTTTTTAAAAAACCAATTCAAACCCTTCTTTCTTGTGTTTTTCCATTCTTCACCAGCTTCCCCAACTTTCTATTTTTCCTTCCTGGCATGTTTCTTCATCAGTTAGCTTATCTCTTTCTTGAAGTTTCCCGTCTCAGCCACGAACGGTCTTCGCTTGCCCATCTTGATGAAAAGTAAAAACCTGAGTGAAAAATGTGATTTGGTTAGGTGCTTCGACATCTACTTTTATAAAGGAGTTTTTGGGAAAAGATCAATTTGCATCAAAGACTATGTTTCTTGGGTCTTGTTACCTATGTTATGTTGTGAGAATCTCACTTTGACCATCTTGGAATTTGTGGTTTGCTTTCTTGACCATCATCAGGTTTCTTGGGCCTTTTATTGTTCTTGAACATGTTGTTTTTTACTCTTAACTTGTTTTACTCTTTAATTATCTATTTTCTCTCAGTATCTTTTTCTCTCTCTTTTTGATTATTTTTATTTTTTGTTGATAACAAAAACGGGAGAAATTGGAGTATTTAAAGAGGATAAAAAAATTCTTGAATGTTTTTATAAGCACCTGAGCCCATGAAAAGTAAAATATATTTTCTTGTGCTTTAATCTATTGATTAATTATTTTATTTATCAATATAAGTTTAAATAACTTGGATAGGGCTTAGGGGAGCTTACAAAACTCAATCTTTGGGCTAGATTCAAGGGAAGCTTACAAAACTCGGACTCTAATGTTGACAAGTTAGTTAAACAAACCAACCATTATTCTTAAATATATTTGTTTGTCATCATCAAAAAGGGGGAGATTGTTAGAATAAAATTTGTTCATACTCCTTGAATTTTGATGATAACAAAGTACTTAAAGAACAATTGGGTATACTGATATTTTTTTTAAGCGTGCAGGATCATAAGCTCAAATTTAACTTGGTTCAGACCCTGTTAAATAACTTATAAAGAGAAGAAAATGACTCAGATTCTAAAGGATCATAATCTGATGTCTCGGCACTTGGAATCTCAACTTCTGATGACAGATCAGATTTTGATGACCTGGGAAACAAAGTATTGCGCCTCTGGTATGTACTCTGTGTGCAAAGCAGTCATATCTTACCAAAAGAATATTATGGAGAAAGTCAACTAGAGTTTCCTAGTGCAAGGCTCAAGGTATTTTGAGACGGCCTCTTAGTTTGCGCCAACATCCTTGTGGTCGCCATGTTTGAGAAAGACGTTGTGGGTAAAGCTTTTACTCAAAAGATAAAGATCTTCACAGTACTAACTTCCAACGTCTCTCTCTTGAAAACTATTTATTAGCAAAGACACTTATGCAAGTCATCTTCCAACGACTCTTTTGTGGCCTCTATTTAAGGAGCTGGATTTTTTAAGGAAGATAACAAGATTTAATAACACGGACAACAAGAACTGAAAAGAACATTAAGCTCTCATATATATTTTTTGTAGTATATCACATAGACTTAAGATTTCTTATCTTTGTATATCTTAGAAATATCAAATGATAAAGTCTTTGATTGTGTTGTATGCTTTGTGCACCTCTAATTGTATATCGAAGTGTATCTTGTTGTTTATTCATCTAAATTGTTTATTGAGAAATTTAGTGGGAGTCTCTTGCTAGGTTGCTTGAGCAGAAGTCTCTATCTAGGTTGATTGAGTAAAGAAAGTCTCAAATTGGTTTGTTTGAGCAATTTATAATCAGATTTTGATTATAGTGAAAATTTCTTATGGGACAAGGAGATTGGACTACTCTCATTTGTAGAGGAACCAAGATAACGTATGTGTGTGTTGTTACTTCTTACTTCTGTTATTTATCTATTTTCGCTGCTAACTACTCTTATCTTAGACTCTGAACTTGTTCAGTCTCTTAAGTTAATTTCAAGAAGTAAAAAGGAATTTCTCATACACAATTCACCCCCCCCCCCCCCCCCCCCCCTCCCTCCCCTTCTTGTGTATTTTCCTCACATTCACATTCATCTTGTTTTTTAAAGTTAATCACTTGGGATTAGTGATTGAAAGAAAGTGAGAGGGGCTCTCATATTTAAGGGGAGTCCTAAATAAAAAGACACTGGGATAAAATTAAAAAGAGGGGCATTGAACAAAGGACTTACTTACTCATCTAAGACACATTGTACTAATTTTATAGAATAATGGATTTTCTTTCTTGGATATGGATACCTTATAGTAAGTGTGATTTTGCACCGTATTGTGTTACCAATTCTGTTGTGTTCTTTATTACTTTCTTTTTAATTATGTGTTGTCGTCATATTGTATATAACATAGTTTAACAAGTTGGATAAGTTGTTCTAAATACCGAGTCCAACATTTATCCCTTAAAAGAGTAGAATTTCAAATTTTAATATAAAAAAAAAATTATAATAAAATACCTAAATTAATATTTTATGAATAATTATTTAAGCCAATTTTTCATTTAAAGTTTTTATTAAAAAAATAAAGTTCATTAAATAAATTTAAATAACACTATAAAAAAATTTAAATAAAGCTAAAACCAACATTTTTAAAAGATAATTCTTGTCTTTTTAATTTACTTTAGAATTTCTTTTTTTTTATTATGTAATTTAGTGATTGAAATTCATCTTTTAAACATAAACAAGTAGAATGTCACATATTTGAACTTGTGATCTTAGATTCAATGTTCTTACAATAAACAGAACATTTATTTTAAATTTTCTAATTTTGAGAATACAGTTAAAAAATCATGTGGAGCTATTATTTATTATAATTTTAAAAAGATACATTTAAAAAAAAAGCATTTTTCGTTGGATAAAAAAAAGTGCAGTTTTCTTTAATTTTCTATTATATCTGAACTATTTATTAATTTTAATTTTCAACTCTTGTTATTGAATAAAAAAATTATAATGTAAATCATAATTTTCTATTTCTCATTATAATGTATAAAACTGATATAGATTTTAAAACCAATAGAGTAATAAATAAAAATATACAATTATACAATAGCTATACAATGAAATGTCTAACAATTCGCTTTGGAATTTCCATACATTCAATTCAAACTGTTTAAAAAATTGTTACATGGTTCAAAGAATCACTAATTCACTTCTCTTGTGTCTTTAATCTTTTGACTTATTACAATGCTAAAAGAAGAAGAATTGCCATACAACTTGAAGAAACCATCACATATGAAGACCCAATATCCTGCAATTTATAATTATTAAAAATCAATCGAATATAAATCAATTTTACAAGAGACTAAGACTAAAACTGATTAGGGAAACGGGCATGTCTATCTCGTTTGTATCTGGATGTCTGTCTTGTTTAAGGTCGATCTTTAAAAATCTATAAAAAACAAGACGGGGGGCGATTATAATAGATGGCTCAGATCTAGAGCTGACAATGAACCGAACTAACTCGAAAATAATTCGAGATTCGATTCGCTAATTAATTTATTGGATTTTGTTCATGAATCAAATGAGTTGAACTTGAGCTCAAAATTAAGTTCGTAAAATAAATAAGTTGAACTTGAGCTATGTATAATTCAATTCATTTGGTTCATTAATTGACTCGATATATAAATTTCACAAAGATATCCATACTTAATTTTCATATTTATTTATATCATTTGAAAGATGATAAAATAATTTACAATTCCATTGATTAAAAAAAATCTAAATTTAACATAGTAAAATATATGTTACAAACTTAAGTTATAACATTTCATTATTCGCTCATATTACCTATTTTTAATGACAATATCTTGAATTACAAATATTATTTTGAGATGAAACTTATATTATATGAAAGCTAGAAATATTATTTATAATTCTTGCGAATACAATAAAGATAAATAAGATTGTTTTAGATAAGATTGTTCTAACAAGTCGAGTTTGACCTATAAAAAAAGTTTGTGATCGAACTCAAACTCGGATAATTCTTAACGAATCGAATTTCAGCTGAAAAAAATTTTAAATGAACTCGAACTTGATTAATTCTTAACGAGTTGAACTGAGCTGAGATGAGTTCGACTCGACTCGACTCATTTCCAACCCTACTCAGATCTAAAACATTTGTCTATCTCAAAAAAATGAGAACGGGACGGGGCGGATCCGACAAACCCTGCTCCCCAAAACCTTAAAATTGCAAAATTCGCAAAATTCATGGTAATATACACACGTCTACAAAAATCTGCAAAACAAAACCGAATGCAATAGAACAAACATAGAATAGGATGTAGGCCTAAATCCTTATTATGTCCCGTAAAAAAGTACGGGCATAATAGACACATCCATCGAGTCGTGTTTGTTTTGCCACCCCTAAAATCGACCGATAAAAAAAAACGTTGGGGATTACATACCTTGAAGGATAGGAAAGATGATGTTGCTGAGGAAGGAACAAGCCCAGTAAATCCAATATCATAAGCAATACTTCCATCATGTTTAAACAATCCAAAATTTCTTTCTGATGTTGGCCCAGGTTTCAAATTCTCATTAAACAGAGCAAATATATAAGCTCTAACCAACATTTTAGGCCTATGAGGTGTTCCTTTTCTCTTCAATAACTTCTTTCTCAAATTCTTATTATAAGTCCTTGCATTTTTCACATTTGCTCCAGCTTCATTATCATCACCCTTTGAAGCCCAACCAGTTTCACTAACAATAACTTCCATTTTATCAAACCCAAATTTCTCCAATGCAAAATAAGAAGCATCAATTTGTGCATCAAGCATGTTATCATAATGTAGTTTACTCTTAGCATCATAAATTCCATGATTCTTCTTCATCAAAGCATAGTTTATATCAATATGTGAAGGGTCATTTTTATATGCCAAAAAAGGGTACGCATTTATATAAAAAGGTGTTCCAATTTGTGAAAAAAATTGTAAAAGTGGCTTCATGTAAGGTATTATATCATCCCTAAATGTGCATGAAGATGGAGGATATGAATTTGCAAATACAGCTTCTGAATGCGGACTCGAAACTTCGATTTGATGTGCTAAACCAAGTCTATCAAGTGCACTATAAATGTTTTTTGCTGCTGGAAGTAAAGCTTCCCAAAGCTCAACACTTCCTCCTCCTAGAATTTCATTTCCTATGGCAATGCCACAGATTTTTGTGCCTGGAAGATAGGGTTGGACATTGTCTTTGATCCAATTCATGGCGCGGTCTTCGCCGACACCGATGTCGGTTAAGAGTTCGTTAGGAAGACAAACACTTAGACATATCCCAGATCCTTTGAAAGCACTTAGGACTTGAGGATTAACATCATAGACTCTTACGTTTCTTATTTTTGCTGCTTTGAGAAGTGTAACCACACTTTCAGGGGGAGGTAAATTATCCGCTACTCTTCCATAATTTACTCCATATGTTCCTATAAATGCTTTGTTCCCTAAAACTGCATCACATAATATTTTGTAAGTTAAGTTAGGATATAATTTTCATTACATGCAAAACAATGCATTAATAAACTAAACAGACCATAATTGTATGAATACATAATTATATATTGTGAAATACTAATTGAATGAATACGTAATATATATTATTGTTTAATCTCAATCTAACGGTCAATGACATACTAATTATGTGAATACATGATACATAGTGTCTGATCTCGATCCAACAGTTGTTGACATACAATTTGTATGAATAATGGTCACTAACATACTAATTGTGTGAATGCATGAAATTGTAACTGGATATCGTCTAAATCTCATATTTCCATATTTCCGATAGTATTATTATTACTAGAAATGTTTCATTAATTGAAAATAATTAACCTTGTACTATGAAACATCAAAGGTAATTTTTATGAAGATAAATCAAATACTCACCTAGAGAAAATGTTGATGATAAAATGAGAAGCCAAAGAAAGAATGAAAATGAGGAAGAGAAAACCATTTGTTGTTGAACTCTAGGCATATTAAGCATGAAAAAAGATATTCCACTTGATAGAAAGTATGAGGGTGCTCCTTTGTATTATGTAATTCAATAAAGGTCAAGAAAACGTAAGAAAACTTTTTCTCTTGTCATAATCTAACTAAAGATTCTTAACTTTTCTTCAAAATATGATAGATTGTTATAACATGATTTGAATATGATTCTTAGCCTTAAACTAAAGATGGTTGAAATGTTACAAAAGGATGTTTTCATCAGGTGAGAACAGATTCTTCCTTTCATAGACCTTTAACTCATTCTTAAAGTATACCTTTTTATACTTTTCACTCTTGTTGAAATTTAACCTTTTCATCAAGCTAACACATGAAGGATATGTACAAGGGTCATCAATACCTTCCGTAGCATCATGGATTAAGGTTGTTTTTTTACCTTATATAACATGACATGCCGAACAATTGAATGTTTGGTTTGGGACAACTACAAAATGTAAGAAACAATAGAAAATAAATTAAATGAGAATCAGTTCCCTTATCATTTGAAATCATAAAAATGTTGCTGTTTTTATGATGTTTTCGTTTATTGTGGAATAGACAGTAAAATATCCAAGTACATGGATTTTGTAAAAAAATCACATTATCTGCAATCCAACAATGAGTATCTTAATATGAGAATTCAAATTCAAAGATGGGTCATTAAATTCATGCGAAATTAAATCAATTCCGAATTTTGTTCACATAAAAATGTGACAAAAGTCTACAATCTAGTTTTCAATATGAACTATGGAAAACCAAAAGATCAAATCTTAAAGAGGCATACAAGTTTAATCTCCTAATTTAACAAAATGTTGAAACAGAATGCAAGATTACAGTCATCCAGTCATCCATAAGGTAACAAAATAAATAAACCTTTAAAGCTGTTTAAACCACACGGACACATACACCAGACACTACTGTGATACATGAGTCGGTGTTGTGTCAATGTGTTTCAATCTAAAATGTCAGTGCTAAACATCTTAAATAGCATTACAAAAAATTAAGGATACTAGGTATTAATAAAGTGCATATCAGTAGCTTACACTAAGTGATAGTAATGGTAATAATATACTTTCATTGAGCACTGCTCCAAATAACACTTTCATTGCCAACCATCTTCACTTGCTCCTCACCTTGAATTGTTTGTTTCTCACCACTTGCCGCTGGAATTTCATTCTTGCCATTAGTTTCTTCAACATTGAGACTCACTTTCTCAGCTCCTTCGGTTTCCTCAGCACCTAATTTTTCCTCACCTTGAATTGTTTGTTTCTCATCACTTGCTGGAATTTCATTCTTGCCATTGATTTCTTCAAAGTTGAAACTCACTTCCTCAGCTCCTTCGGTTTCCTCAGCACCTAATGTTTCCTCGTCTTGAATTGTTTGTTTCTCATCACTTGCTGGAATTTCATCCGTGTCATTAATTTCTTCAACGTTGAGACTCGCATTCTCAGCTCCTTCGGTTTCCTCAGCACCTAATTTTTCCTGCTTACTACTGTCAATTGAACCGTTTTCATTTTCCAATTCAACTGGGGCCTCCTCTTGAGGTTCTTCAGTAACCACCATGGCCTCTGAAGCTTCTTCAACAAGTTGTTCCTCTGGTTCTGCCATTGGTGTTTCTTCCGCTTGAGGGTTCTCAACAGCCAAATTTTCAGCTTCCACTTCCACATTACTTTGCTTAATTTCCTCTGCATTATCACTCTTTAAGTTATCAATGATTATGTTATCAGCATCAACTGAACCGACGACTTTTGGTTCTTCTGCAGAAGACACTTCCTTTTCCGATTCAACTATTGCCTCCTCGATCACAGCATTCGTAGCTTCTTGAACAAGTTCACCTACTGTATTACTTTGCTTAATTTCCTCTGCATCACTACTCTTTGTTTTATCATCGAAGTTGTTATCTGCATCCATTGGATCTGCATTCAGTTTTTCTGCAGAAGGATTTTCCTTTTCTGATTCAACTATTGCTTCTTCGACCACAGCATTTGAAGCTTCTGGAACAAGTTCACCTTCTGTGTTACTTTGCTTAATTACCTCTGCATCATTACTCTTTGTTTTATCATCAACGTTGCTATCTGTATCGATTGGATCGGCATTCGGTTCTTCCACAGAAGGATTTTCCTTGCCCGATTCAACTATTGCCTCCTCAACCACAGCATTTGAAGCTTCTTGAACAAGTTCACCTTCTGTATTACTTTGCTTAATTTCCTCTGCATCATTACTCTTTGTTTTATCTTCGATATTGCTATCAGCATCCATTGGATCGGCATTCAGTTCTTCTGCATAAGACTTTTCCTTTTCCGATTCAACTATTGCCTCCTCAACCACAGCATTTGAAGCTTCTTGAACAAGTTCACCTTCTGTATTACTTTGCTTAATTTCCTCTGCATCATTACTCTTTGTTTTATCATCGATATTGCTATCAGCATCCATTGGATCGGCATTCAGTTCTTCTGCAGAAGACTTTTCCTTTTCCGATTCTACTATTGCCTCCTCAACCACAGCTTCTTGAACAAGTTCACCTTCTGTATTACTTTGCTTAATTTCCTCTGCATCATTACTCTTTGTTTTATCATCGATATTGCTATCAGCATCCATTGGATCGGCATTCAGTTCTTCTGCAGAAGACTTTTCCTTTTCCGATTCTACTATTGCCTCCTCAACCACAGCATCTGAAGCTTCTTGAACAAGCTCACCTTCTGTGTTACTTTGCTTAATTCCATCCACATCATCACTCCTTGTTTTATCATTGACATTGTCATCAGTATCCATTGGATCAGCTTTCACTTCTTCCACAGAAGACTTTTCCTTTGTCGATTCAACTGTCTCCTCGACCACAGCATTCAAAGCTTCTTGAAAAAGTTCACCTGCATTACTTTGCTTAATTACCTCTGCATCATCACTCTTTATTTTATCATCGATGATGTTATCAGCATCAACTGGATCGCCTTTCGGTTCTTCCGCAGAAGACTCCTCCTTTTCCTTGGCTTCCTCTGAAGGAGATTCAGTTTTGGTCTCCTTGCCATGTTTCTTTGAAGCATAAGGTTTTTTACCGCGTTTCTTCAGAGGCTCGGCTTCCTCTGAATGAGCTTCAGTTTCGGTTACCTTATCATCCTTCTTTGAAGCAGATGGTTTTTTACCGCGTTTCTTCAGAGGCTCGGCTTCCTCTGAATGAGCTTCAGTTTCGGTTACCTTATCATCCTTCTTTGAAGCAGATGGTTTTCGACCGCGTTTCTTCGGAGGCTCGGCTTCCTCTGAATCAGCTTCAGTTTCAGTTACCTTATCATCCTTCTTTGAACCAATTGATTTCCGACCGCGTTTCTTCGGAGGCTCGGCTTCCTTGGAATGAGCTTCAGTTTCAGTTACCTTGTCATCCTTTGAACCAATTGATTTTCGACCGCGTTTCGGAGGCTGTGCTTCTGGAGTTGTTTGGACCTTCTCACTAATCCTTGATGATCGCCTTGGTGTGTCACTGGTTCCCCAATCAAACTCTGATATGTTAGGATTCTCAGGATGTGATTTTAGGTACCGCTCCAATTGTCTTTTGGAGGTTATCTCTTCTCCAGTTGGAGCAACAAACACAATCTCGCCTTTTCTTGGTGTTCCTGCTTTCTTAGGGAAGTACTGCAGAGTAAAGCAAAAAATGTGTTATAAGACGATTTCCAGACAGCACACAAATAAAAAGATTCAAGTAAAACTTGTTGGCAATAGTCACACTAACATAGACACGAACACCTAACATGACACTGGCACTAACTGACACTGGCACTGACATGTTGATACCACGTGTGACAGTGCAGTGTCGGAAACCGGACACGCTTCAGTGTGAACTATGAAGTGACGGTGCTACATATTTACATTACATCAGTGTAAAACGAAACTATGAGGAACTTATCATCAGTAAAGCACCAAGTTGTAAGCACTATAGATCACAAAACCCTCTAGCTTAGAATAATTCAGACAATGTAACCTGCCCACACCAAAAATCATGACTTTATGAAGCCCTATTCACAAATTGACCTTACAATAAACCAAATTGATCTATAGTATACTTCATGTCAGTTTCATTAGCTATGAAAGTTACAAATCAGAATCCAGTAGGGATAAAATCAAAATCATCAAAATCCATAGAAGGAAAGATCGACAAAATATAAGAAAAAGTTTCCAAAATATCAACCAAATACAAAAACTTTTTTACCAACTTTTAGTTACATAATAAGCATAATATGGAAAGATGCGTCACTGGAACAGAATCTTGAACCAAAATATTCTCAACCACAGGGCACAGAAAAAGGTTAAGCAAAAACACTTGCTATTAAAACCTAAGTAGCAAAAATCCAAAAAAGACAATACCAAAAACTCCAAAAAAGACCTAGTAACAAAAATCAGAATCCATTAGGGATAAAAATCAAAGTGCAGTGCAGGAAAAGTCGACAAAATGTAAGCAAAAGTTTCCAAAACTTGAACCATATGCATAAACTTTTTTACCAACATTTACTTACATAATAAGCACAATATGGAAAGATGCATAAATAGAACAGAATCATGAACCAAAATCTTCCCAACCACACGGCACAGAAAAAAGTGTAAGTGAAAACACTTGCTATTAAAACCAAAAATACTGTCCACAAAAGACAACATCAAAGTGCAGGGCAGTAAAAATAAAAACTTGAACCAAACACATTAACTTTTTAGCAACTTTTACTTACATAATAAACATAATATTAAAAGATGCAGAAACAGAACAGAATCATGAATCAAAAGTTTCTGAACCATACAGGACACAGAATAAAGAAGTCAAAACACTTGCTATTAAAACCTAAGACACTGTACACAAAAACCAACATCAAAAAACCCAAAAAAAGACCTAGTAGCATCAGATCACAAATAGAAACTTCTTACAGTTAGTACCAATGAAATCCCCACACAAACACCCAACACTGACGAGCAATCCTCGGTACTTAGATCCCCAACAGAAAACTAATACAAATTACAAACTTAAGCTAACAAACTTAGCTGCTAAGTTGTATTAGCATTGGCCCACAAATTCAATTTTTTTCAACATCAGAAACAAGGATCTATACATAAATCCTCACACGAAACCGTAAACTCAAACCCTAGCACCAAATCATGCAAAGTAACCCCTTTCACGAAAACCTAAAAACAAACCCTAGCCCCAAATTGCACAAGTAACCGCTTTCACGAAACCCTAAAATCAAACCCTAGCCCCAAATCATACAAATTAAACCCTTTTAAGAAAACCCTAGAAACAAAATCTACAACTAAATCCTCGCGATATTAACCGAATCTAGTAACAATAACAGAATCCCAGACAATTAAAGTGAGAAATCAAACCACAGTAACAAACATGAACTTGATAAAAATCTTAAATAAAAAATAAAATACAAAAGATCACGAGAGAGAGAGAGAGAGAGAGAGAAAGAGGGACCAGTTTCTTCCAAGAAGGAGGAGCTGAAAGCCGAACCGACGAGACTTGATCTTTGGCTTCGTTCTCCATTTGTTGTTGTTGAAGTTGAACAACCACGGCAGCGACGCTTTTTTCTGAGGAAATAGAAAGTGAAAACAGTGCTTAATGTACCGTGTCGCTAGCTACAAATTAGGATATGGTTTAGTTTTTTCTCTCTCTTACAAAATGTTATCAAATTTGATTTGGAGTCCGGGGTTTGATAATCTCACCTGTTTTTTGGGTGTGCGTTTGGTAACCGTCCAATTAGATATCACCGCTTCTAGTTTCTACCGTAGAAAATTAATTTCTACTACCAATTTATTGAAACTTACCAACTATACACTTCAACACTTTGTTTCTTCGCGGCTGAGATTATAAAAAAAAATAAGTTATCATTTTATCGTTTGTTATATAAGTGACTTTTGTTTGTTACCATTTTATCTTTTGTTATATAAGTGATTTTTTATTTTGCTTTTTGTAAAAATAATTTTTGGAAAAGCACATTTAGTATTTTAAGATTCTGTTTGTTTAGAGATTTGGAGAAAAATGACACACTCCATTTGTCATTTTTTCTTTATATTATTTTTCTATTTAAATGTATATATTACTTAATTGTTAAAAAAAATTTCTTTAAACTATTTCATAATTAATAATAATTTAAAAGGTTAATATCATTATTTAATTATCTGTCATATTTTTTGTTTAAACTATTTTATAATTATTAATAGTTTAAACTTGTTTGTCATATATAACTTTTGATTAATAATATTAAACTTTAGTATATCAAATAATTATTTTTAATAAAATATTAAAATTAATTTATCTAAAATAAATTGGAATTCAAATATATTACGTGAACTAAAATTAATTGGAATTAAAATTAATTTATTAGAAACGTATTAAATAATAAAAAATTTAAAAAATATTAAATAATAAATTAATAAATATATTAAATAATAAATTAATTTTAGAATCTATAATATAAGTTTATAAAATAAGTGAAATTCCATATTAAATATATTTAATAATATTTAAATATTTATATATAGTTTCAGTTTATTTGTTAGAATAAATTTATTATTAATTTCAATTTATAATCATAATAATTAACTGTAGTAATTAAACATCAACCAATAAAGATAAATAGATTTAATTTTGATACTAATTAATATATATATATATATATATATATATATATATATATATATATATATATATATATATATATATATATATATATATATATATATATATATATATATATATATATATATATATATATATATATATATATATATATATATATATATATATATATATATATATAGTTTGTAACATTAAACAATAAAGATGTAGTGTCTTAGTGACTAATGTAACAATCGTTAATTTAATTAATTATTTAATTAAATTAATTATAGATTAATGGTTGAAAATGTTGTTGAAATTATTGAAGTTGTTGAATGTTGAGATATGTTGATTTAAGTTGCTAAGTTGTTATTTGATTGATATTTAATTGATTGGTTGATTAATATTAGCAATAATATTAATATAGATATTATAATAAAATAAGGTTTATTAGTTGGGCTCATTATTTGATTGTATGGAGTAATAGGTGGAGTGTGAAAGTTAGACCCAATAAGAATAGTAATAATTATAAGGTTGAGTTAATTATAAGAAATTAGGTTAATTGAACAAGTCTTGGAGTATTTTGTCGGAACATGGAAGTTGCAAAGTTACAGAGAATAGACAGAGGTTGGAAACTTTGGCAAGGCTAGGCTCGATAGAAGAATTATAGAGCGGTCTTCAATCCAAGGTAAGGGTGGGGTTCTGACTCTATAATGGGAATTATGATGAATAGTGTGTAGGAATTGGGTTGGTGTAATTGTTGTACATGTAATTATTGTTTATGTGCTCCTGAATGATGTTGAATTCGTCTGCATAATTGTTTATATTAATTGTCTGTGTTGGAATTTATCTATCGATGTAGTTGTTATTAAGTCGCTATGTTACTGACGTATCATGTTGTTGTGAAAATATTGTTAATCGAAGGAAAATTTGGGAAAATTTTGGGTTGCTATCAGTATCAGAATAAAGTCTGTGAAGAGACGACGTGGAAAACAGTCTGTTCCGAGGGGCACAAAGGTTGTGCCAGACGGCATAAAATTGATTGATGTGCCGAGGGGCACACAAGCATGTTGATTGGCATGTTGTGAGTGATTTTTATGTCGGGGGGACAAGCATGTGTGTCGAGTGGCACCATGCCTTGGATACTGCTTATGTTGGTTCCTGATCCATGAAATTTTAGTATGTTTCAACCAAAAATAATAATTATGTAGAATGATTATAATGGAAGTACATGTAGATTGAGGAAAAACCAATTAATTACATACTTTAGTAACAGTAACAATAAGTAGATATTAGAAGAAGACAAGTTAGCAGAAGAATATCAGTAAATTAATTATACGAGAGTTAATTTAATGGAGTTGGTATATGTATATAGCATAATTGGATAGCAGTGTAGTATTAAGTTGTCAGAAAACTAATAAGGAATATTAATCTAAAGTAGAAATAATGAGACGTTTTGCCGGTAATTAATTAGCAGGATTTAGTTGATTTGCTCGAATAACTATACAGAACAATTGTTGTATATTTTAGTTGATACAGTGTGTGGAATACTTTGCTGAAAAATATGAATTACAGGTGGTATTAAATTGTTAGGCTTATAGTTAATGTTGTTTTCTTATTGATGTTGTTGTCGGATTACTATTATTGTTGTTGAAATATCAAGTTGTAGGCCTATGGCCAGTGTTGAATTAATATTCATTTGCAGGCTTATGGCCAATGTTGATTTATGTTGAGTTGTTGTGTTGTTGTGATTGTCGCTGGGAATTCTTGTTGATAATGCGAAGTTGTAGGGAATTTTAATGATGATGAATTACCTCTATTTACTGATAATAATGGTGATATATGCTTATGTCTTGCGATGAATGATGATTGTCTTGAGTATGTGATGGTGCATTCATTGAGTCACATACATTTGCATACTCTGTGATGGCCTGGATTGGAAAACTGCGAAGAAGGCTTATGCCTTATTGATGCCTCTATTAATTGGAAATTTTTAAAATGGGAGTTATGCTCCATTTTTAAGATGGGAGTTCTGCTCCGTTTTTAAGATGGGAGTTTTGCTCCGTTTTTAAGTTGGGAGTTATGCTTCAATGGTACCACATGCATGTGCATTATAATTGAGTCGCATTTGATGTTGCATATTTAGTTATGGTAAAGATAAATTTTTGTTGCTTTATGTTGTTGACTTATTGTGACAGGTATCATCTAAATGTTGTGAATTAGTTGTTATGTCGTGTTGATGTTTTGTTGAGATTAAAGTTGTTTGAAAATTGTGAAGTGGTGATTGTTATATGTGAAGGTGAGAAAACACTTAGAGGGGGGGTTGAATAAGTTTCTCTTTTTCTTTTTCTTAAATGCTCAACTATAATGGAAAGACACAGTTATTTTTATCCTGATTCGTTTGAACTCAAACTACTTCAGTCCACCCGCCAAGGTGATTTCGCCTTTCTCAACAATGACTTAATTCACTATAATCAAACCGATTACAAATACACAACCAAACTGTTGTGACTAACAATTCAAAGCACAAGTAAACTTACAAGTGACTAACACCACTAAGACTCAAACTAGTCATAGCCTTCTTGAGAAATCTGACCAAACTTGGTCTCTCAAGGAACAATTACAAGAATAAAATCTTTACAGATAGTGAAACAAATTGCTTCTAAGAAAGTTATATCACAAACTGTGATTTTTCACTAAGATTAGTTTTGCACAAAGTGTTTGTAAAATGATTTGTGATCAGCAGAATATTTTCACGTCATTAGGTTCGTTGGCTTGCAATAAATAATCTTCTATTTATAGCATGAAGAAAACGACTGTTGATGCCTTCAAAAGTGGAGAGCAATTAATGTTTGCGTATTTGCTTGTAGTATTGCATTTTCTAATGAGCTAGCGTAGATACTTGAGTGCATGTAGCCGTCTTTGCATTTAATGAAACAAACGAAACTTGTCAGAGCATGTTTCTTGAAACTTTACAAGACTTGTTAGCTTCTTATTCTATCAGAACTAGCTTCACAACTTGCTTCAGAGTATGCTTGCAAATCTTCTTATCAGCGCTTGCTTTCAAATCTTCTTATCAGCGCTTGCTTTCAAATCTTCTTATCAGCGCTTGCTTTGTAGAAAACTTCTGAACATGGTTTACATGGAAACTTGCTAAGCTTTAGAAGATGCATAAAATAGTTTCTTATCAGAGTCAACATTAGAACTTGCGCTAAAACAAATTGTTCTTTCATTAAAGAACTTCTTCATTCATTTTCAGCTCAGCACGTCAAAATGATTTTCATCTAGGAAAATACTTCAGTCAGAACATTATCTGAAATAAATAAATATGCTCATCAGAGTATCAATTATATAAAATATATTTTATTTTTATCATCAAAACTCTGAGATATGATCAGAACCAATCTTGTTTTAACAGTCTCCTCCTTTTTGATGATGACAAAAATATTCAGATTTAGAAATAAAATTGAACAAGAGATAAGAATCTCCCCCTGAAATAAATATTTCTATAAGAAAAACTTTCTGAGAATTTTCATCAGAACTTTGAGATTTTTCTTTTAGGATTTCTTCAGCAAGTCTTTTGAAGATAATGTTTAGTTGATTAAACTTCCAGAGTTTAGTGATACCTGCAAAAATCTTTAAACAAAGAAAGAAATCTTTGTATTTTGTTAGTAATGTCTGAGACTTAGTCCCATAACTATTAATCAGAGATTAGATCAAAATACTCATTTTCTCCTCCTTTTTGTCATACTCAAAAAGTATATAAAATTAAGGAGCGTAAAAAAAATTTAATAAAAAAGATTCAGAGGTACAAAACAAAACAAAAACAAGAATCAGAATGACAATAAGATATTTATATGAAAGAGAAGGTAAAATGTGAGAAAGGGTTTTTTACAAAGGTATTTATATGAAAACTTGAGAGAGAA